AGTGTTTTTGTGCAGCAGCCACAGGAATTAAAGCACTGTGTTGACTAGCTGCACAGAAATACTGTGCTGTGTCTGCTGGTTTGGTATCAGAGATGACCAGCCAGGCTTTGCCTTTTGAATTACCGGTCAAGTTAAAACGGCTTTCAAAGGCCTTCTCAGGGTTTGGATTTTGGTTATAAAGCAGTCCAATCAGGTCCATGGTCTTTTGGCCTCCGACATTTGACTGGTACCAGAGCATGTAGGGATAGCTGTTATCCCCATGGTAACAGACGAGACGTGCCACTTCTCCAGATTTCACCTGAATGAAGGCAGGGGCCTGCTGGATTACAGGTGGTGACGCCATAGTGTCTATAAAACAGAAAAGGAGGACTGAAACTAGACAGGAAATCTGAATACTGAAGATTTACAGATTTCTTTCCAATATTTGCTTATTTACCTGCAAAAAAAGACAAAAAAATCAGTGAGGGGATCAATGTCTCAAACATTATTTTAACTGAAAAAAAAAACCTTGCTCAGATAATTTTTTCTTTAAAACACAGGCATGCGGAGGTATTATGGGAGACAAACTGGTGGGAAATCATATTTTGTAGATTTTTAAGGAGGAGGAGCTCTCAGAGATCAACATTCCCATGCGTTGCTACTGCTCTCTGCTGTTCAGGGTTTATATTCAGAACGCAGTAGAAAGAGTACAGTATAAACAGTATCACACATAGAGCGACCGTCAAACTTAATTGGTACACTTTTAAGAAGAGCTATAAAATTATTTCTATAAAGATTTAACTTTTGATGTTGTCACCCAAATTGAATAATTGAATAAGTGGGAGAAATAACCTCACAAATGCCATGAAAAATATCCAATAGCAAATTTAAGTGCATGTGAGTCTGACCAGCTGAATCTATGTTACAAAATATTTTTATAGTAGATTCCTTACTGAAAAGTTTCATTTTGGAGACAAAATTAATTCTTTCTGAAATTGTATTGCATTTTACATTAAGTAAATGTTTTTTGTTTTTTTAATTTTAGACTTATTGATTGAATATCTCAGTTTGTTGAAACTGACATTAAATATTCAGATATATAAATATGCTCATAGTCTATAGAGATAGTTGTTGTAAAAGAAATAAATACTGATTTTTTTTTACATTCACTCACTGGGCCTTGATTGTCCAATTTGTGTTTGTTCGTCTCGCTCAGATTAGCTGAACATATCAATGGCTCGTCTCACCTTTGCTCTCAAAAATCCAGAAAGGAGGGAAAATAGAACCGTGAGTTTGAAGGTTGGATTGGCCAATGATGAAAACAAGCTCGAATTAATTAGCTAAACATGGTGACACAAAAAAAAATACACATAACTTTACAATTCAAGCTAGAACCTGTGGTACAAAGTGTTAATTATATGATTAAGTTTCAAAGCTAGCGAGGTCAGCTTCATAGATCTAAGGTAGTGGTAGCTATAAGCAAGTCCTAGCCGTGGCTATCTACTACATCCATAAAACTTGTTTTTGTGTATGTATGACAGCAGTTATAAAATTAACCCTTCTATTTTGGTGTCTTTGGTATGGATCAATCTAATATTCTAGAGTTTAAATAACAATGAATAAAGATGTGTGATGCTAGAGATATTTAAGCTATACCCTGTTTGTAAGCTTCTGACTTTGCTGCAGTTTTAGATTTAAGGCGGTTTAGT